GTAGATACAAGAGACTGAACAGGCAGCTTCTGTCCAGAGGTGAGATGGGAAGGCAGAGAGGGTTAGGAGCTGGTTGAATGGACATGGGGAATCAGTGGTGGAAAGGAGGAGTGTGCCGTCACAGTATGGGGAGAGCAATTAGAGTCACGTAACAATGTATGTATAAATTTTTAGATGGGAAAAAATAAGAAAGATGGAAGAAATACACAGAGTCATTGTAGAAAAAAGAATTGGTCAACATTCAACCATTTCAGGAGGTAGTATATGATCAAGAATCGATGGTACTGAAGGAAGAAGTCCAAGCTGCACTGAAGGTATTGGCGAAAAACAAGCCTCCAGGAATTGATGGAATACCAACTGAGATGTTTCAACAAACGGATGCAGTGCAGGAAGTGCTCGCTCGTCTATGCCAAGAAATTTGGAAGACAGCTACCTGGCCAGCCAACTGGAAGGCTGATCATACAGCCTAGATTTTTATTCAGTATTTCCCAATATCATGTTATAAGAACTATCACCAAAACATTTTAGCTTTTTCTCCAGCTTTATAATTATTTTAATAAGGCAAGCACATGTATTACTGAACTACAAATGCAAAATGGCAAGCACATATATTATTGAACTATAAATGCAAAATAGAAAGTTAATACTTATTTTTATTAGGTTTATGAGAAGCTAAAACCAGCTGCCAGTGGTGTAAATGGTTAATGTGCTTAGCTGCTAACCAGAAGTTTAAGTCTGAGTCTACCCAGAGGCACTTTGGAAGAAAGGCCTGGTGATCTACTTCTACCATGAGTTGGAATCAACTCAACAGCAACTGTTTTTTAATGAGAAGCTAGAAATAGTGGGCTGCCCAAAATGTTCTTCTTGTTAATATGTAAATGATTTTCCTTTTCTGATTTATTTAAAATGGAACAAATCCACTGAAGGAGATACTGTTATTAAAATGTGGGTTATCCCTTCAGCAAATGCTGCGTAAATCAAATTTTTAAGTATGTCCTGTGAGCTTACCGGTCCAAGTTTGCTAAAACCTGGAGTGCTATTGCTGTCAGCCCTAAGATATACTATGAATGGATTACTGTCAAATGCTGATGTCTACTCTTCTACAATGGTCAAGGATCTACTCTGGTTCCAAATACTGAAAAAAACAGCAAGAGAATGAACTCAAAATTATGAAGGTCCTGATGGCCCAGGTCTATAAAGTTGACTATATTAAACTACCTAAAGTGATACTTTTAACAAAAGTCTACCAAAAACCCGATGGTAGGATATTACCATTTTATCCTAATTTATTAATCATGAGCATATTAATCTAACATGCAGCCAATGCTGTCAAGTCCCATCAACTAAGGTAGACAGTATTATTACTGTGGAGTCCCTAGGTGGTACAAATGGTTAATGCACTCACTGCTTACCTGAAGGTTGGCAGTTCAAGTCCACCCAGAGGCACCTCAGAAGAAAGGCCTGACAATCTACTTCCAAAAAATCAACTACTGAAAACCCTGTGGAGCACAGTTCTACTCTGACACACGGGGTCAACGTGAGTCAGAATCAACTCGACAGCAGCTAGTTATTTTTACTATATTACTAGCCTCATTATCCTTCAGATATTACTTAATTAAAAGTTGAAATTCCCAATCTTAAGGGCTCTACATGTAGAGCACCAATCTAGACTGAAAAACGTGCAGTTTTTCATCTAGAAAAATCTTAGAAGACAAAGTTCTGCAGGTTAGCTGGCCTTTCAGGAAGGCATCTTCCACCAGTGCACTGACCCAATTACTGGTCTGTGAAAGCTGCTACGTTTGGAAATGTGGATGCTATTAAGGCTCTTCCCTCACACTATACTTTATTCAGCTGGTAATTATGAATATGAGCTCAGCTCTGTGGAAAACAGAATAGAATGGTCAGCAGTCCTACTCTGTGAGTCTGCTCCCCTGGTGTCCAGAGAAGAGACGGATATTACAGTGTACTCTGCCAGCTTCTGCCCATTTTTCCAGCGTTCAGCCTCTACCTTCAGGAACTTTCCATAACCCCAGGTGTGAATTTTAGTTTAAAAGTTTTATGAATTTTAAACTAAGCTTTAATGTTTCACATCTGAAAACCTTCACACTGGAAGTTTCCTTTAGAGTCTACAGTTCAGAGTCATAAATAATGTAGTGCAATCAAGCAAGATTTCAGTGCAGTGGGAGACAATTAAAGTTGGATAAGGGTTCTAAAACTGAGAGATTTGTTCAGTCCGAACTTCATCTAAGCAGACCAAAGTCCTGGTCGTTGTAGTTTGGCAGTTGCTCTGCATTACATTGCAGTCAGTGGAAACATTTCCCCTGCTTTCAACCCTCATTCACTGTAACCTCTGTGAAAACTTGAGGAAAGGGGAAACTAATATGACAATTACACACACAATACGTATCTATTTATCACTGAACAAAGTCTGGATGCTTGGGACAGACTTACTGCAAGTTGATGTAGGCAGGCTACAGGGAGGGTAACAGCACTGCTCATTTTGTTTGGTTTGGGATAATACTTTTATAAGGAGTCCCTGGGTGGCACAGTGGTTAAAGTGCTCAGCTGCTAACCAAAAGGTCGGTGGTTCAAACCCACCAGCAGCTCTGCAGGAGAAAGATGTGGCAGTCGGCTTCAGTAAAGATTACAGCCTTGAAAACCCTATGGGGCAGTTCTCTTCCCTATAGGGTCGCTATGAGTTGGAACTGATTCAGTGGCGGTAGGTTTGGTTTTGGTTTTTGTGGCGCAAACAGTTAAGTGCCTGCGTACTAACCAAAAGGTTAGCAGTTTGAACCCACCCAAAGGCACCTTGGAAGACAGGCCTGGCAACCTGCCTCCAAAAGGTCACAGCCTGCAAAACCCTATAGAGCAGTTCTACTCTGCACACGAGGTTGCCAGGAGTCAGAATAGACTCAACTGCAACTAACAACAATACTCTTAAAAGTAGACTTCAGTCCTCACAGGGCAAGTTTGAAGCTCCATGAAAATAACTGTAACAAATTAACATGAGGTTACTAATCAAAATGGGCATTTTATAACAGCAGGTTTGAATGTTATTCTTTAAGCACATCAACATGAGGCTGGTGTCTGTCTAATAGCATAACATTTCGTTTAAAATTAATTTTAGTTAAAACATGGGGAATAATCATTTCTGCTCTTTGAACACAATGTGAAAGAAAATTGCTTTTAATGTGAGGAAAATATTTTTCAAATTAGACAATGTACATCAAAAACTATTATTCTGAACTCTGAAATATGTAGCCGTTGGCTATTTTAAATCAAAGAAAGGAAGACAGAGATAAAAGCTTTCCAATGGCTGCGTTGAATACAGAAGTAGTAAACCTACAAAAATTGTAATAAAAAAATGTTCACTTGGGGCTCCAAAGTACTCAAGACACTGTCAGTTTGGAGCGTTACTGGAGTTTAAATTAAAAGTATGTTTCAAATTACATGGGAAAAAAAAGATAGCATCTGTAAAGAAGTGGGCCCAGCAATCCGAGTCTTCGAAGAACCCAGAAGTAGTGAAGGAAGTAAGACAAACAGAAACCTGTACAGTAATGTCCACTGCAGCACTTTTCACAACAGCCAAAAGGTGGAAAATACCAAAGTGTCCATCAACAGATGAATGACTAAAGTGTGGTATATACACACAATGTACTATTACTCGGCCATAAATAAAGAGAAATGAAGTCCTGATGGATGTGCCACAACATGGAGGAACCTTGAAAACATCATGCTGAGTGAAATCAGTCAGTCTCGCTTATATGAAATAAGCAAATATATAGAAACCAAAGATTATTAGTGGTTACCAGGAGTGCACAACTTGAAGAATATAATCAACATCACTGAATTGTACATGCAGAAATTGTTGAGATGGAGTGTGTTTTGTTATGTATACTTTCACAACAATAAAATTAAAAAAAGAATAAGAAACGTCACTGCTGCTTAATTCATTTTATTTCAGTCCATCATCACACTTCTCTGCATGAGCAATCATGGGCCGAGTGTTACTTGCAGGAGGAGAAGGTCTTCCAGAAGAAATTCTTGCAGGTGGCTTTCTCTCGGCGCGTGGCCTGCTGAGGGGGCGGGCCATCCTGCCGCTTGGCCACCTCTCTGGCCTCCCTGCCCAGGAAGGGCACTGCCCTGGCCTGGGAGGTCCACTCGTTCCACCAAGCTAGGAAAGTCAAGAGGCCATTTTTCTTTATTTCTGCCACTTCCTGTAGATGCTTTTAAAAAGAAGCAGACAGCAAAGAAAAGAAAAATCAGCAATCTGGCTCAGCCAGTATTAAAAGATACAGAACCCTTTCCCTATTTTAACAAGAAAGATGTTCTGAACAATAAAGCACATTTCCATCTAAAGATGAGAAAGTTAAGAGAACGCCTTAAAGAAAATACTCTAAGAAAGATGTGACAAGTCTCAGTCAAGGAAACAAAAAACAAAAAACAAACAGCTTGTTATTGCCCTTAAAGAACTTTTGTTGAGGTCCTCATTAGACAGCTAAGGAAATAGATCATTTTCCCCTGACAAGTGACTGGCCACCAAGAAGCCCCCTGAGTCAAATCAGGCACATTTTGCTTGTTTTTCCCATCTTTGGTCATACTCCAAGATGTCCAAACATTTCTCTTGGAGACAGTAGTAGTTTTCCACACTATAACTTGAGATGTTATAGAGTTTAGCCTTTCAAATTCCTTAGAAAGCATCTAGGAGTAACCTGGTGATAAATGACCTGTCTGAAACTCATCTGGTAATTTCAGAGAAAAATCCATTTTTAATAGTCAAGTTTATGTACTCTTTCTTGGAACTTTTTCAAAATGGGAAAAAGACAGAAATAAATCACCTCATGAAGTTACCAGTTCTCACAATGGAAATGTAATGATGTCAATTAATCTGGGCCAGAGAGGACATGTGCTGTATGTCTAAATTAAGGCTCTAGAAGCAGGTGTGGCTGCACGGGCAGCACCCTGACCACGCCGCAGCAGACTGGCATAATCACACTACAAAGACGGGCAAGTTTATAGCCAACTTCAAAGGTCCAAAAGGGGACATCCTAGTACTGTGGGGACATGACAGAGCTCAAACCTGCCTTCTGTCCTATTTGTGAACTCAGCACACGGACACACAGGCTCTCAGACGTGGAGGTGCTAGTGAATACACAGACGTGGCCAAATATGCAGAAGACAAACAGAAAAGTGGGCTGGCCTGTACCTGGACCAGTACTCACCCCGCTGTCTGTGCCGGGGAGACTGTCCCCCAAGGGCAGGGTGGCGGTGGCTGCAGCCCCTGGGAGCAGCAGCAGGAGGCAGAGTGTCAGCAGCATTCTGCGGCCACAGGCACGGCTCTCCAGTTCCGCTGCTGTTCACCTTCTTGGCAGCTCTGAAATCGCTGTTTTGTGGATTTGGGTCTCTTCTTTGGGGACCGTGGGGTGGGGTGGGGGTTTAAGCTCAACCCACAGCCCTGTTTTTTGATATATATACATATCTAAAGCCGTACCCCCCTTCCTCACACTCAAGCAGTGACGCATTTGCCTGAGCAATCAGTGTCCCCAAAAGCGCTTTTGGATTGGATTTAACCCCTTAATTAAAGCCTCAGGTCTTTTCCTGTGTTTAGAGTGAATTTGCTCTTAATTTGGAATGCATGTGCTCTTGCTTCTAAAGAAGTTCTATTTCCTCGCAATTATGCCTATGGCAAGCAGGAAGTCATGAGAACAAAACCAAGTGATTTAACATAATATAAAATTAGCCTTGGATAAGGAGCTTAACATCTGAAATGTTGCCCACATAAAAATACGACTGAATCTGTCATAGGCAGAAGAAACAAAGAGCTGATGAGGTCTCAACAGCGATGTTCTGACAGCATCTGCTAGTGTCACCCAATCGCAGGCAAGGACACCCCTGAGTGACACTACCCAGAGCTCCCTCTCAGCCCAGCAGGCCAGACACACTGTGCTCTAGCCCAGGTCTGCTAAAACTGTAGTGTATACAAATCACCTTGAATACAGATTCTGATGCTGCAGGAGAGGGGAGGGGCTGAGATTCTGCATGTCTAACAAGCTCCCAGGTGATGCCGCGCTTGTTATACAAGGCTCTAATCCAGTGATTTTCAAGCTCCAGGTAACGACCCACTAGTGGGTTATAAACCAGCACTTCGTCTTGATGAAATGAACAGAAAAGATAATAGAGTGCATCACGTGTAGTAAGGTAAATATTGTTTCATGTTATATGTGTGTGTCAGGTGTAACGTCTTTCTTACTGTCATCATAGTCCCCACAAAGAGAGAAACGCTGGTGTGCGCTGCACCTGCCCAGCTCCCAGGGGCTCACTCTCCTCCAGAAGCCAGCGCCACCGTTGGGAAGTACAGAACCTTAGGTGCTTGACTCTGCTGCCTCCTGGCTTTTCCTCTCGGGTCCTAGTTTAAGCATCTCACCAACAAGTGCACAGACCCTTTTCAGCCAACTGAAGACAGCTTGTCAGATCTGAAACATCCACCTCAACATACTTCTTGTTAGCTGCCGTCTGGCTGCCCGCAGCTCATGGCAACCCCATGCTGCTCAGTCCTGCACCATCCTCATGATCGGTTGCAGACCAGACCATTAGGGTTTTCACTGGCTGATTTTCGCAAGTAGATTGCCAGGCCTTTCTTCCAAGTCTGTCTTAGTCTGGAAGCTCCGCCGAAACCCATTCATTATAACAACACGCAAACCTCCACTGAAAGACGGGTGACGGCTGCGCTTGAGGTGCACCGGCCAGGAACTGAATCTACATCTCCAGCATGGAAGGCGAGAATTCTACCACTGAACCACCACTGCCCCCTCAAACATTCTTAGGGAAGATGAATATGCAAGACAAAGCTCTAAACTGAAAAACTGCAGTAAAGCAACCTGAGAACTGACAGCTCTCCAGAAGTGAGCAATGCAGTTTTCTGTTTTCCAAAGTTCTCGTTCACACCCCTTCACAAAGGGAAATCTTGACATTAAGTTTCACCTTGCCACAGGCTTTGTGTTAGATTATTTTAAGATTCTAGGTGAAATTAGCATGACCTGATGACTATTTGGAAACCCTGGTGGTGTAGTCGTTAAGTGCTACGGCTGCTAACCAAGCGGTCAGCAGTTCAAATCTACCAGGTGCTCCTTGGAAACTCTATGGGGGCAGTTCTACCCTGTCCTATAGGGTCACTATGAGTTGGAATTGACTTGACGGCAACAGGTTTTTTGATGACTGTTTGTTGCTTAGTCCTTTTTTTTCTGTACCAAAATAATTCTTTTGCCTAAGGTAATTCCCATATTAACAACCTGTGTTATGCACATGACACAACCTTGCTTGCTGAAAGAGGACTTGAAGCACTTAATGATGAACAGCAAAGACCACAGCCTTCAGTACGGATTACACCTCAACATAAAGAAAACAAAAATCCTCACAACTGGCCCAATGAGCAACATCAACATCAGATGGACTGACACAGTGGCTGCAATAACGGGCTCAAGCATAACAACGATCGTGAGGATGGTGCAGGACTGGGCAGTGTTTCGTTCTGTTGTACACAGGGTCACTGTGAGTCAGAACTGACTTGATGGCACCAAAAACAATTCCCACAAATGGCATTAAGATTTTGAGGCATTCCTGGAGGTGAAAAATTCATATCCCTAGTCTATTTTTGCAGATTTTACTCAATGGACTCCCAACTTTCTGAGCACCTGGTGCGTGTACAGCAACTCACATACCACAAAGGACCTAAGTGACCCACAGTCTCACAGAGACGGTACAGCCTAGCAAGGGGGGTAGGATACATACTCTACAAATGAAAGATGTAAATTTCCAGGGCAATAGTAAGTGTGCTGAGAAGATTATGTGCTGCAGGTTGGGGAAGGCCGCATGCTATTTTACTACTAACTGTTTTCAAGGATACGGCACCACACTTTAGCATTTAAAGGTGAGGAATCTAGACTAGACTCCTGGCGTTGCCATTTAATTAGCCTCTTTGTGCTCCCAGTTTCCTCACCTATAAACTGGGGGAACTACGTACCTCATAGAGTTGTTGTGAGGACCAAAGGGGATCATTAAAGCACTTAAATACAAGCAGAACACATAGTAGATATCCACTGCATGTTAGGAATTGTTGTTAAGAAGACAGCCTCAATCACTTACTCTCCCATCAGTATAAAGAGCTCCTACTGCAAAATGTTGGGAATCCCTGATTACAGCCATGTAACCTGAGCAAGGGCTGCTCCAAATCCCAGGGGACAAGTATTCATGGGGTGCCTTTCACGTACCAGGCACTACAGAAGGTGATGAGTGATCACTGTTCAGCACTCCAAAGTCTGCTCTCATGGAGCTGATAATTTAATATTTTATGCAATACTGTGTGTTTCTGAAAAGGTGTACAATGGGAGCTTTGATTAAAGGGAACTCAGTACTGAATTCTTTTGAAAAACACATACCACCAACATACCAGTTACCGCTGAGTCAACTCTGACTCATGGTGACCCCATCTGTGCTCCATAGGGTTTTCAAATGGCTGATTTTTTGGAAGTAGATCACCAGGCCTTTCTTCCAAGGCACCTCTGGGTGGACTCAAACCTCCAACCTTTCAATTAGCAGCTGAGACTGTTAACCATTTGTACCACCCAGGAAAACAAAAATGGCTTCTTCTTGAGAGCATAACTAGGAACTAGATAGAAATCTGAAGGTAGATGATTTTTCTCTATATATGTAAGAATCTTGTAACAATTACAGTGTCCAATAATGGAAAGAGTGCTCTATCCCTGGTGTGGTAATGAGCTCTCTGTACCTGGACGAGTTCAACAGAGCCTGAGGAACCGTATGTCAGGAATATTGAAGAAGGGGTTCCTATGTTGGTGAGGAAGTTGAGCTAAATAACTTCTAAGGGTTCTTTATAGATTCTATAATTTAGTAAAGAGAATAAGCATGCTCCAATTAACCTCAGGCATTTGGGTTTTAAGGTATTAGCTGTAGACAAGCCAGTGTAGACCTCTTCCGGTACATTCCAGCTGCTGCTGGGTACAGAAGGGGACACTTTGAAACTGCCTTTGCTCTAGCTGACGTCAATAATAAAAAAATTAAAACAGAATATTTTCTTTCAAGCTTTTTGAGAAAGTGGCATAATTAAGAAAACAAATGTTTTCAATGTAAACTGTATCAAACTACATGTTAGCATATATTTCCAAATATATTGCAAAAACATCTGCTTCTTTATATGGTTAATCATCTGTAGGTCTAGTCAAAGTTCAGATGAGCTTCCAGGCCTCTGAGAAAGCAAGCTCACTGAGAAGGTTGGCCCTCTAGAGCTCCTTTCTGCCACAGATGGAGTGGTAAAGGGTAATCAATATCACCTTGGAAGTTCCAGAGTAACTAACCCCTCACTGGAATGTGTAGTGGGGATTAGGAGGCTCATGAGACCATGGGGAGCAGAGTCAGTGATTCCTTACAAAGTCCAGCCATCCCTATGTTTTAATCCCAGAAAAATGTGTTGTAAGACCATGTCTAAAATACAAATGGGACATGCATAAACACGCTAAACAAACCAAAAGATTACATGAAAGTCAAGTCAATATTCTCATTTGGTTAGAAAACCTCACATTAGCATCCTTGTGCCAACCAGGGGCCAGGACCCCCAAGCACACGGGTTCACCATTTCTAGCCATGTAGACACTGAGTTTCAGGAGCTATAGAAATCTATAAAAATAAGATGTGCTACAATGGTTTCTACCTATTTCCTTCGTCTCATACAACCTCACTGGGAAGTATTTTTAACCCTATTTCACTGATAAGAACACAAAGTTTCAGAAAGTCAGTTACTTAAGTGGCAAAACCAGGATGCACATCTAGATCCATCCAGCCTTTGGAAAGTCCCCTGGTATCTATTCCATAAACTCTTCCTGATGAGGGGTTTAGAGAGAGCTTATCTAAAAATGAAACTGCGAACATACAGCTCTTTGGCTGAAATAAGGACGGAAGATGTTATGATTCACTTTTCTTTCACTGATGTGACACACAGATGTTACAATTATTATCTAAGATCAAAATGGTTAGTTAGTTGCAGAACCTGAAGTCATGAAGTTTGAAGTCAGTGCTTTCCTATGGCCATAGCTTAGCATCTGCCTTTGAGAGTCAGACTTTGGGGTAGCTTTTGCTGATCATATTTGGGCATGGGTGGTAAAAATTCTATCCAAGATGCATGCCCTTTTCTCTCTTGCGCACTCTAGAGTCAGCACCCCTGAACGTGAATACCGTCTCTACTAATCAATAGTCTGGTGACCTTGGGCAGCTGGTTACCCCCGTCAAGCTTCATTCAGTTAGACTGTCAAAAAACGTGAATAATCAGATTTACCGATAGAGTTGTGAAGATTCAAGGGAGTCCCTAGCACAGCGCCTGGCACACAGAAAGGGCTCTGTCAATGCCAGTCCCCTCTTTGCCCCAACTGCCCCTAAGCGAAGAGGGATACCCTGGACCTCAAAATAAACCCCAGAGAGAAGACAGCACTGGGCTCTTGGAAGCATCTCTTACAGAAACAGAGGACAAAACACTGAAATATTTTGGAAGAGCAGTCCTGGATTCTACTTCTGCCCAGTAGAACCATAGTTCAATAACAAAATAGCCAGAGAAGTGTCACATAGTGTGTTGCTGGAGAAAATCAACTCCAAAAAGTAAAAAGGACCATTTCCAAACATCCACCCTTTTACCTGTGATCACAGGTGACACGGGCTTAAAAACAACATCCTAATACTGGTCATTAGAAAAGCTAACTAAATATAGCTTTGCTCATTTATCTTTCAGGGATTGTCATTTAGCCTGGAAAATTAAGTAAGAGAATTTAAAAAAAAAACTATGATTTTTTTGCTCTAAAAAGTTGACCATGTTTAATTGCTAACACAATTCTATTAAATTCCAAGAGATACCATTTCTAACATACCATTCAAAGACAATACCTTTTTTATGTGTATAAGTAAGACATGGGAATATTTTGCTTAAGAGTTTCCAGTTCTCTTCAATTAGCTTTTGAAGTCAATGACTTAAGAGAATATAGGACAAAAAGCCTCCTGGCCTTTTTTTTCCTAACCTCCACTTAGAATCCCCTTTGTGACAACATGCATTTCTGGGCGGCTCTACCTACTTCCAAGTGGCGGAAAGTCTAATTCTCACTTTCCACTACTCCAGCCTCTGCCGGCTCCCTTGAATCTTTGTTTCCATTCTCAAACTTCTTTTTCTTCTTTGCTTTTTGTTCTAGGTTAAACTGAGCAATCTCTTCATTTTTCTCTGTGATGTATTTTAGCTACAAAAAAAATAAAATAAATAAGTCAAAGAATTGTATTTGTAGCTGGTTGTAAAACCATTTTATTAATCTAAAAAATAAAACCTATACCCTCCCAACCATTACCATTCCCACCCAAAGAATTTGGGTGGAAAAACTTGGATTACATTTCTCAGACTTTAATGCAACTTCAGTTTTTTTCTGGAAAAAGGAATCAAGTACAAAAATTAATTCACTGCTACTCATATATCTTCCCAGCAGTATACTCCAATGTAGGAGTACCTTAACAATCAAAAGAATTAAAACTTGGAGATCATATAAGGCATCTCAATCACAAATATACTCTACAAAGCACAAATACAGTCACCACCCCCCTAAACTTATTCAGCTAAAATTTACTGGGCAACTACAATGTACCAGGTACTGGGGCTACAAAGGAAATAAGACAAGGCCCCTGCCCTCACAGATGACTTAGTCAAATGCACAGATGTAGGTGTAACTCTTTGGTAATGAGATTACATCAGATGGAAAAAAAAAATTGAGTCCAAAATAAAAACAATATTCTGAAGTAAACAAATATGGAATAAGCAGGTGACTTTCCAATTAATATTATAAGATGACTTGCATTGAACATTCCTTTGAATGTTCTTAGAAACTGCTCCCTGAAGCAGACCAAGTTATAACACTGAACAGAATTTATGAAGAGATGTCTTTTTCTCTAATTCACAGAACCACGAAACACCTTAGCTATTTTACTTAGGAATCACATTATGCTTAACCTTGACTTAAAACTTTGAAGAACGGATATCAGATGAGCAGCGGGAGAAAAGATAGCACAGTGGAAACAGAACTAGACGCAGGGTTAGAAGGTAAAGGTTCAACTATCAACTCACTCAGAAAGCTTCATATTTAACTTTGGGAAGTTACTGAACTTCAGGTTAGTCTGTAAAATGGGGCTAATAAGTTGTGTTATTAATAACCCTTCATTCTACTGGGTTGGACCATGCCTGCCCCTGACCCCCTAATCATGTCCACCCATAACATCAGAATGTGACCTTATTTAGTAATAGTGTCTCTGCAGATGTAGTTAGTTAAAATGAGGTCATACTGGAGTAGGGTGGGCCCTAAATCCAGTGACTGGTGTCCTTATACGAAGAGGAGACACAGACACACAGGAAAGATGCCACGTGGAGACAGAAGATTGGCCAGAAGCAGCAGAAACTGGAGTTATGCAGCCACAAACCAAGGACTGCCTTGGGGCTACCAGAAGCCGGAAGAGTCAAGGAAAGATCCTTCCCCTACAGCCTTCAGAGGGAGCATGGTGCTGCTGACACCTTGGTTTTGGACTTCTAGCCTCCAGAACTGTGAGAAAATAAATTTCTGTTATTTTAGGCCACTCAGTTTATGGTTATTTTTCCTAGGCAGCCCTAGGAAACTAATACACCCTCACAGTGCGGTTGTGAAGATTAAATAATATACATAAAATAATTTTTATAAAAGTCCCCTATAAACTGTAAACTGTTATCCAAAGTCACTCATTCAACAAACATTTATTGAGCACCTAGGTGCGCTATGCCAGGCGCTGTTCTGGGCGCTGCAGATGGAACGGAGACAAGAGACACAAAAACCCCTGCCCTCGTGGAGCTCATATTATAGGAAGGAGCATAAACCAGTTTAACTATCAGCATAAGACCAAGTCAGGCATCCTCAGAAGTGTCCTGGATCTGCCAAGGGCCCCGGTGACCAGCCTGACATGATCAGGTTGTCTCTGGTGCCAATGTCCTCACCTGTAAAACGAGGACTCAGTCAGGATGATTTCTAAGTTCCTTTCCAACTCTAGACTTCTTTGAAAAGATAGAAAATGTGCTCATTTTTCCTGCACGCCTCGGCCAAACAGTTACTCCTTCCACACTTGGCCTGTCAGGAGAACTCTGAGCACCAGAACAAAACTATTCCCACAGACTCTGGCCTGTGACCTGTCTCTGACATCATGCTGTAAACGAAACATGGGACCAAAGTTTTGAGATACGACAAAAAAGGCAAATTATAAAATCCAGAGAGTGCTGATTAGAAAATTTCAAATTGGCTTAGCAAGATCCATCATAATGAAAGAAAGACTATAAATTACAGGCAGGTCTGAATGGTTCAACCACCTCTAGTTTTTAAATCAAGGTGCCCTGGGGGAATAACTTCATGGCTTGCAGTGATTAATTGGGAATAATGTATTCTGATGGGAAAGGGGAGTGAGGAAAGAAATTCATCTCTCACCAGTGAATTGCTCCTCCTGGCTAAGAGCTTCACATCATCCGTGTTAATTGTGCTTCTTTTTGCATGTCTGTAGAAAGGGCAGAAACAATTCACCAGAATGTTTGATATTATTTAAAGTTTTGATGAAACAAAAAAGTCCATGGTCAGACTTCAAACAAGCAAGGCCCTCTAAGAGCTCTTCTTTTTAGATTAAGGTCATTAAGCAACAGTGGCACAAAAATGAGTGAAGTTACTAGCCAATGTACCAATTAAGTAAAGAGAAAGCAGAAGCCCATCTGTCTACCTCCATCCAAGGGCCAAGGGTGCCTTGAGAATAAGAACACAAGAAAGGAGTCTGCACAGTTACAACTCTTCCAAAAGTGACCTGCTTAGTCACAGTGAAAAACACAGAAAAACTAAGGTCAGTATACAACTTCAGTGGAAAGAGAAAATGGACAGAGTTGCACAATACAAAGATCACCTCTGTTTAAGTAGATGTGAAACAGAATAACAAAGAATATCCATGAAGCATGGTTTTACTTATACCAAGATCCTGAAGCCCTTCTCCAAGGACTAAATTACAAGAAAAGGCTTATGCAGGAAAAGGCAAATACCTCATTCCCCAATGAAGAGTTAATGCATTTCCTCATCCATATCCTAGGTAGAGCAAAGAATGTCATTTAAACTGAAGTCTGTTTCTTGTTCACAACTGGGACTCGAATTCTTATTCCAGTCCTCTTATCTTTGCTTTAAAAGGTAATTTGATAAATTCTCATGGACTCCAGACTGCCTGGAGCCGTGGAGGGTGGATGAACCCCTGAAACTATTTCCCTGAGATAATCTTAAAACACTAGACCAAAAATATCCCCTGAAATCTTAAAACTGAACAATACTTTAGCTTAAACTAGTAAAAAATGTCTGCCTTGAGCATTATGCTCTTTTAAGAACTACCTATAAGTGATATAACTGACAACAGCAACTTGAAAGATTAGATAGGAACCTTAGCGGGCAAAAAGTTTTCGTTAATGGAGGAAGAACAACTCAGAAAAGGAGGGTGAGAATGGTTGCACAACTTGAAGAATGTAATCAATGTCACTAAATTTTACATGTAGAAACTATTGAATTGGTGTATGTTTTGCTGTGTATATTCTCAACAATAAAAGTAAAAAAAAAAAAAACTGCAAAAAAAAAGATAATTTGAGATAATAGGCTCTATTCAATAATTTTACTCTGAATTACAGCCTTTCTTCCCATTTCCAACTTTCCAACAAATAAGTAGGAGTGGTTCATCTTTGTATCCTCAATAACCAGCACGTAGTTAAATCCTCACTAAATACCTGCTGAGTTAAAGATAAAATCACACCAATTCTAATTGTGGAATATAATTCTACACATCCTGTTAAATGTGCAAATATCATCTCATTATGATTGATAATATCTGCCTGTCATGAGAGAATATTCATCTCAGGAGGTCAAAAGGTGATATAATGAGCAGCCACAAAGTATGTGGCCACATCCACAGATGTTCTAGAGTAGCGACTAGTAAATGCCCATGGACACAGTGCAGCCCTGGTCTCAATCACAATCAGGCTGCTGTGTCTATCTGTATTTACATTTTTCTTGTTGTTAGCTGCTGCCGACTCAGCCTCCAACTCGTGGCAACCCCATGCACAATGAAACAAAACAGTGCCCACTCCTGCATCATCTTCATGATTGGTTGCAGACTGGACCATTGTGATCCATAAGGTTTTCATTGGCTGCTTTTTGGAAGTAGATCACCAGGCCTTTCTTCTAGTCCATCTCAGTCTGAAAGCTCCACTGAAAGATGTTCAGCATCACAGCAACACACAAGCCTCCACTAACAGATGCGTGATGGCTACACTTGAGGTGCACTGGGCCAGGAATCAAATCTGGATCTCCTGTATCGAAGGGGAGAATTCTACTACTGAACTACCTTGCCCCCCTCAACAGCTTTTATCCAAACTTTTACTTAAGAGGATTTCCTTCCTTGTGGAGCTTACCATCTAGGTAAGACATACACACTCTTCCCCCTAGTACACAACAAAAGAAAGTTAACCTTCTAATGTAATTATAAAATAGAGTTATCCGAAAGCTTAATGTGTCACAAACTAAATATTTCTAATTTCACTTTTATTTCTAGAATTTTTAGAAAAGTATTTTTAAAATTTCATTGTCTTTTTCCACAGCTAACATAGAAATGGCAAGTAAGGGTAATAAATGTACTTCTCAGGAGACAGGGGGGAGACAACGGGCCACACATAAGTTAACAATGAATAAGCCATGTGAGATATCAGTATCCCATAATACTATCTTATCCCTTTTGGCCAAGTTGAAGATACTAAGCGGTTTTTAGGGAGTAATATATACAGGGATAGGAAAGATTTAAAGCCTGCCCTCTGAGAACCTACTGCTTTAATTCATTCAAAATATTCATCCGAGAAACAAAGAGCTAATAGGAGCAAGGTGAAAAGTATGCGGTGTGGGAGAAGCTGGCACCAAATCAGAAATGGTAGCAAATTAGAAAGCTTTAGCCCTTTCAGGCCTTAGTCATTCAAATTGCTTCATAAAAGCAATTTTTTGCAATTGTTTTCAATTACCTAACGTACTAATTGAAGAGATGAGCATAAATCACCTGTAAAAGCTAAAGCTTTGCCAGCTGAAAGCAAGTCGCCCACTTTTCAAGGAGTATGTCTTACTCCTAACAAATGCGGCAAATGAAAGCTTCTAACTGTAGACGGTGCTGTCATTATCTGTACACCTGTGAGCAATTACATCTGCCAACACAATGTCGCCCCAACGCCACAGAGGCAGCAAGACCCCGACAAGAGCGTTCCTTAGACCCGGGGAATTGCCTTTTGTCCCATCCTCTTTTCCCTCCTATAAAGCTTCAAACCACCCCAAAGAAAACGTTTTTAAAATACACACACCACGCACATTCAGAGTCCTGGAGACATTATTCATATCTTTTTAATCTAGAACTGAGTATCTTCTGTTGTTTAACAGAAAATACTTGGAAAACTTCAAAAAATGCCAAATCAAGTCTGAATCGACGTGATTAAAGCAGGCATTACATTCTTGTAGCATCACAATTCGACACTAGCTTCCACAAAATACCAAAAATTGAATTGCTAAAGTCCTCCTGATATACACCACCAGATGGAGAGTATCAATGGAAGGTAAACAAACACAGCATGAGATAATCTAGTCCTCTACCCACCTGGCAAACATTTCAAGGTCTTTTGCAAAATTTTCTGAAAGAGAAAAGAGATGTACTTTAGCTCCCATTGTCTCAATCTTGTTCCACAAAGATGAAAAGTGAAATCTCTATTCTACAGTAAGCACAGTGACTAATACAACAAACCTATTAAAGGTGAGAGGAGGCACCATTTCAGGCAGCCCAATCATTTTATAACTGCCTTTAGCCATTTTACTCATTATGACCACCTTGTCCTTCCCTGCACCTTCTACCCTTTATTACAAGCCTTCTGTTCATTGTGGCTACACCTTTGGTTCCTAGAAACTATTCTTTAACCTTAATTTTTGCTATAAGTTAGGGCTTGTGAGGACACTAATTTCCTCTGAAGTCAAGCAAATACCAACGCCACAAGTTCAGCTACCAATAAACTATAGGTAGTATAAAAATGTTACAAAGCATTGAAATAAAAAAAGGTAATATCTGATGTTCCAGGCATCAGGGCAGTTTATTAAAACACAATAAAATAAAGGTGCTGATGTCCCAGTATTAATGTGTTGTTGTTAGATGCCGTCGAGTCGATTCCAACTCATGGCGACCCCATGTGTGCAGAGCAGAACCCACTGCCAGGGCTGTCTTCTGAGGTGCCTTTGGGTGGGTTCGAACCACCAACCTTTCAGTTAGTAGTCACACGTTTAACTGTGCCACCTAGGGACTCCTGTAGTGTTAATGTAACAGAAAAAAATATATAGTTTTTTTCACAAAATATCCAAATCTTACCTCCAGGAAAAGAAATACATTGCCTAAATAGTTTATGATTAGAATGTTCTTTGCCTCTTCGGAATACATGCCACAGCACCCACACATTTCTCCCAGGCGAAATCCACCTTCAGGACTTCATTCAGAACTTTTATATAT